TATATGATATAAGTTATTATATTACAGCATTATATGATATAAGTAATGATGGTGGATAAACATTATATGATATAAGTAATGATGGTGGATAAACATTATAGATACAGCGAGACGTTCTCACCCTGCAGTTAGCTTAACACCGCTGTCTCTGTCTGACCCCCGTTAGGCTCCACCCACAAAGTATGACATCACATATTACAAACAGGAAGTCCACTAGCGGAGCTGTGGTCGGCGGCGTGTTCAGGCGTGTTCTCCTGTGTCCTCAGGTATCAAACACGAGTGGCAGGTGAACGGACTGGACGACATCCAGGACCGCACCACGCTGGCCGAGAAGCTGGGCGGGAACGTGGTGGTGTCTCTGGAGGGCAAGCCGATGTGATGTCATGTCAGCCAAGCGGAGCCAAGCCAACCGCCGTGCCATCCGGACCGAAGCACCGAACCCCCCCGAACACCGCTTCACTCAGCAGCTTGCTCTGTCTGTCCCCTGTCCTGAAGGAGTTAGCGTCTTTAGGCCTCTTTGTTTTCTTTTTGTTCTTTTTGCTTTTTCCAACATGAAGGAGATCTCAGTAACGTACCGATATGCAAACACCTGCCCGTCTGTTGCCACATCACTTCTGTTCACCTGGCAGAAGAAAAAAAAAACAGAAAATGACACACTACCAAACCGGGACGGTTGTCTCTCTCGCAGCCAGAGTTTTGCCAAAAAGTCGATGTGAAGGAAGCAGCCACGCGTGTGGGAGGCGAGCGCCGCACCGCGAAGCTCCGCCTCCTGCAGCTTTTTACATATGACTTTATTTATTATTGTAAACTGTTGTTTCTTCTTCAGTGTGTTCGAACCAGGCAGACGTATTGTTAGACTATGCATTGAGAAGAGGAGAGAAGAAGAAGATCTAACCCAGCACTTTTTGTTGAAACACTACAGGTTCAATTCTCTGTATTTATGTCACCGAGCTAACGTTTGTTTACCTCAGTTTCATTCCTGTCGGACTCACCGTCATTCTAGCTGTTTGGTCGTCGCCTTACTTTCAGTTTGAATGTAACCGTCACACCAGTTAGTTAGAGTGCACTTTTATTTTGTAAGGAAACACTACAGGAAGCAGATTTGACCCCAGCAGTGAGAGACGACCCGACGACAACAACAAGAACACGACGACATCTGGAGCCTTAAAGTGGAACGTTGTTTCTGAGATCACAGGAAGCCACTTTGCAATAAAAGCCTGTGGCAGATCTGACGCCTCCCGCCTCGTCTCTGCTTCCACCAATCAGAGCGCTTTCACCAGCAGGTCGCGTCCTCCAGCGACCGCCGAGTGAAAGCGCTCTGAACTGTAGAACCTCAGTAGAACCTGTGTGACACAATGAACCACTAGAACCAGTTTAAACCAGTAGAACTGCATTAGAACCAGTCTGACCTCAGTAGAACTCTGGTGGACATCAGTGGAACCAGTGTGACCTTTAAAAGAACCCCAGTGGACTCATTAGAACCTGTATGAACCACTATGACCTCAGTAGAACCACAATAGAACAGACACTAATAATAATAACATGTACAAACTCCATTAGAACCCATTAGAACCAGTCTGACCTTTAATAGAACCTCAGTGTAGAATCCCATTAAAACCCGTATGAACCTGTATGAACCCATATGACCTCAGTAGAACCCATTAGAACCGGGTGAGACATAATAACAGTCAGTGAATGACACTGTGGTTCTTTATTGTTCTGTTGGTTCTGTGAGGAATGTTTCACTGGGTTCTGCAGTCTGAATACTTGGTTCTTTGATAAAAGCTCAAAGCTTCAGGACGACTCTGAACTTAATGCTTGACGACAACTACGACTCCCAAGGTGCATTGCGACATCACACATCCAATCACAGCTTAAAATTCTTTAATGTGTTTGAGCCAAAAACAATGTGCAGCTTAAATCAGAGCAGAGGCTCATGGGTAATGTAGTCTTTAGAGACAGAAACAAAACTACATAAACCTGATCCAGGAGAGGATGTACATCTGCGGGTCTGATACACCTCAGTCCTGACTTCCTGTGTACTTCCTGTGAGGGCAGCGGCTTCAGGAGCTGAATGAATGAAAGCTGTAAATTCCTGACCTTAAAAGGTCCTGAAGTGTAACAGCAGTGAGTCCACAGGAACCAGCAGCAGCTCTGAGTCCGACACTGGGACTCGTTGTATAAAGTATAAAAGAGAGGAAGCTGCTGACACTGATCAGCTCTCTGGAATCTGATCCTCCTTCTATTTCTGGAACACACACACACACTGACACACACACACAGACACACACACACACACACACACACACACACACACACTGACACACACAAAAAAAGAGAGATGTGAATTAACATTTATATTACAGAACCATGCAGTTTTATAAATCTGCCTGCAAGTTCAGCTCAGTGACCAGCAGGAGGTGTTCTGCTGACTCAACCTCTGGAACTCCTGGGTAATGGAGTCCATCAGGATTCTCCTGTATATATCTATACTTAAATTACAAATAACAACGTTTAGAAAGATACGATGATTTGTATTATTAAGGATACTAATGTGATAAAGTGTTTATTAATTAACAGCTAATCCAGTAATAAAACAAATGCAGAATACATAATAATCAATAATTATTATCTGCGATTTAATAATGATGCAGCTTGGTAACATCAACATTCATCATCATTTATTATTGGATTATATTAAGTATTAACAATCTGAAATCAGATAAAATGATGCATTTGATTATTGCATTTTGACTGTTTTTACACCCTGACAGCAAAAGAAGAATTCGAGTCACTGTTCAAATGTTGTTGTTGTTTGTTTGTTGTTGTTGTAAGCGTTGTCTGTACTGCTGGGAGCGGTCTCTGTGCAGCTGGTGCCGTACGGAAGCTCAGCTCTCCGCCGTCCTTTGTCCCGTCCTACTTTCTCCTTTTTGGTGTCTGATGGACCTCAG